ATCGATTCCGAAGATCACGGATCTATGCAAATCTATTGAATATAGTCACACACCCTTTGAGGCCCTGATTCCTGATAGAGAGGAATGGGAACAGGGCCGACCGGGCACGACGGACGCAATCTGTTTCTATACAGATGATTATATTAGAAGGACACGTCGGCGGAGGTGTATACTCCGAACAATTAGATATCAAGAAGTCATTCAGGCTCCCGGACCACTGTAGCGTCTTTCAGGCGGAGGTCCACGCTATAAAAGAAGCACTAACCTGTTTAGGGAACCTTAGCCTCCAGAGAGGACACATATATAGTGACAGCCAAGCGGCTAATAAGTCGATCTACTCGACAAACACCAACTCCCGTACAATAGCAGACTGTCGCAGATCTCTCCACGAGATGGCAAATCAGTTTACTATCAGCCTAATATGGGTTCCGGGTCACCGGGACATCGTAGGCAACCAAGCCTATCCTACCAGGAGAGGAAAATGTCGGCATGCCCATGGCTACTTGCAAGCTTAACATAAAAAACCACTTTAACACACTAGCCAACACCCATTGGCAAAACGCACCACAGTGTCGCAACTCTCACCAGACATGGCCTGTGATAAACAACAAAAAAATCTCGGAGTTACTCAAACTCAGCCGCACAGAGTGTGGCATGTTGATCCGAGCTCTTACAGGCCACTGGCTTGTTGGCGCACATGCCGGCAGGCTGAAAGCCCCGCAAAATGATTTCTGCAGAAGCTGTAGGGATGAGGAAGAAGTGGAAACGGAAGAACACCTTCTCTGCTTCTGCCCAGCCCTATGCAGACTCAGACTGAAACACTTAAGAAGCCCCTTCATCGACGATCTTACCGAAATATCGGAGATTAATCTCAAAAGCATGAGTGCCTTTATTAAATCTTCCGGGTGGAAGAAGCTTAACACAGGCTAAAACTACTAGAAACGGGACCCTAGAGAAGGAAGAAACGAGATCATGCGGTATCATAACGGACCCATTGAGGTCTAAGTGTGTCGGACTATAGTCCGACAGCCGCCCTAACCTAACCTAACCTAGGTTGCGCATTACAATCTCGCTTTGCTGCTTGCATATCTCCATCTCCCTTTGATCCCTTTAGCTGAGTAAGGGGTATCTGACAGTCGAGGTACTCGACTTTAGCGTTTTTCCTTGTTTTTATTATAAATACCTATCTTCACGCCAAATATTTTTAAAATCGGACAACTCATATAAAGTTATGACCAAATAAAAATCACTATTTTGCAATTCATTCGAGATCGCACACCACATGCAGCAAATTGGCTGTTTTCAGTTAGTCAAAAAAGCAAAGTTGCTTTAAGCCTATCTCCATCCCTCTCGCACTCCCTTGAGCTGAGAAACGGGTATCTAATATTCGACTATAGCGTTATCTCTTGTTTTTTATTGAATTTTGTGAACAACTTAGTTTGTTCAATTTAAAAAAAGAATTGAAGTAGTAATTTTTGTTAAGTGTACAGTTAAATTTGTATCTTATTACTGTACATTTTCAACTTTTCCTAAAGAAAAATTAATATTTTTTTGTTTTTATTTTAGTTTTATTATCAATGTATTTATCAATTGGTTACCTTATCCTACAACTTTGTGTAAAATAACATGAGAATATGCAATTCAAATGTTTTTTAAGATTGTCCTAGCTTATGTTCTTAGCAATCACTTTATAAACAAATATTTTTATACCCGTTACTCCTAGACTAAAAGGGTATACTGGATTCGTCGGAAAGTATGTAACAGGTTGAGAGAAGCGTTTCTGACCCCAAAAAGTATATATATTCTTGATCAGGATCACTATCCGAGTCGATCTAGCCATGTTTTTTGTCCGTCGGTCCGTCTGTCCAACTGTCCATCTATATCTATCTACTATAAAAGCAACAGTACTCGGACTTGGCATGCAGATTGCAGAGATTCCTGCGCAGCGCCAGTTTGTTTCAGCAGGGTGCCCCGCCCACTCTAACGCCCACAAACCGCAGTCCAAGTTTGTTACGCGAATATGCTACACCTTCTCTTACGCCCACAAGACGTCCAAACCTTTGGCTCCCACAAATGCCACGCCCACTCTAAAGCCCAATTGCGTTTGTAAAGAAGATATTGTTGCTACCGCAACTGCAGCACTGCGCACTGCAACCGTGGACACGTCAAGACAATCAATACTAAACATGTGTAAAGAAATTAACTCACTTCATGTTTTTTTTACTAATAGTTTTGATAATTCTTTTCGATGTTTTACTCATCGATACACGCCAGCGGGAATTTATCATGTATCAAGAAAAGGTAACGTACTATTTTCACGCTCCTTTTTTATTGATACAATACAATACAATACATGATACAAGCATTTTTTCATCATGGTTAGCAATCAGCATTCAGCAGAAATGTAGTATGAATTCTATCAGTGATCAGGTATCATGTTGTTCTGAACGCGACTAATATGTACCAATATCTACTCAGTTGGACAGTTGTTAACAAGTAAAGTTGAAGAGTATATGATAGTCGACGGACTCCACCAGTGTAGTGTCTATAAGCTTTATTATTACTTTTTGAATAATTATAATAATATTACGAAAGTAATGATTAATAATGAGTTTACTTTGAACAAGGAAGAACGCTATAATCGAGTACCTCGACTATCAGATACCCGTTACTCAGCTAAAGGGACCAAACGGAAATGGAGATATGCAAGCAGCAAAGCGATATTAAAATGAGCCACCTACCGGCGGTAGACAGATTTAAGCGTTATGGGCGTTGGAGTGTGCGTGGCAATTTTTTTTTTGATCAATTGATAGGTATTAACGAGACCAATACATTTCAGTTAAAATTTTTTATCTAGCATGAAAATTGTGGGCGTCACAGGTTTTTGCGATTTGTGGGCGTTAAAGTGGGCGTGGAAAACTTTTTTTTGGGTCAATCGATAGGTATTGATGAGAACAAAACATTTCAGTTAACATTTTTATTCAAGCATCAAAACTGTAGTTTTGGGCGGTTTGGGGGCGTTAGAGTGATCGTGGCACTCTGCTGAAACAAACTTGCGCTGCGTAAGAAGCTCAGGCACGCCAAATCTCAATAGCCTAGCTCCCATAGTTTCCGAGATCTCAGCGTTCATCCGGACAGACAGACAGACGGACAGACGGACATGGCTAGATCGACTCGGCTAGTGATCCTGATCAAGAATATATATTTTTTATGGAGTCGGAAACGCTTCCTTCTGCCTGTTACATACTTTCCGACGAATCTAGTATACCCTTTTACTCTACGAGTAAATCGTTTCTTCTTCTTCCAATGAAAAATCAACTCATTAAAAGTAATAATGTAAATAGAAACAATAATTTGCTTTCTGGTTCAATGGAAAAACACAGAAGAACACTATAGACGAGTGCCTCGACTGTCAGATACCCGTTACTCAGCTCAAGGGACAAAAGGGAAATGGAGATATGCAATCATCAAAGCGAGATTGAAATGCGCCACCTACCCATGATCTCAATATATGGTTATGTGGGCGGTAGACAGATTCAAGTGTTATGGGCGTTAGAGTGGGCGTGGACAATTTTTTTTGGATCAATCGATAGGTATTGACGAGACCAATACATTTCAGTTAACATTTTCTGGGTTCTGGGACAATTAGCATGTCAATGGCCACTGCCCCCCTCCCCACCCTCATTAACGTATGCGGGTTCTGGGACAATAAGCATAATCCATTAAATTAACTGATTTTAATGGGCTTTTAAGTCATAAAAATGTCACGATCATGTATATAAAGAGTGTACTTAATTGCCCCCATCGCCCCCACATCCCCATGTGACAATATTGGTCATGTATCCTTTCCCTCATTATGTGCAAATAATAGTTACGTGAGAAAGGTGCACGTGAGAAAGGTCGCGCAACCATATTATCCAAAGGTTGTTATCTTACAGGAACATATCCGATCATGTTGGGGAAAGGTGTGATCACGAACCCTTTTCCTCATTATCACAGGTGTTGCTGTGCACGTGAGAAAGGTCGCACACCCAAAGTTACCAAAGATGGTTATCTTAGAGGAACATGTTCGATCATGTTGGGGAATAACGTTTCCTATGATTGTAAAACTAATTTAGAAATCAAAAAAGCCCCAATAAAATAATTCTCACAAGTACATGATTCTCAGATGTGGAATATTTTCAAACACACTTTTATGTTTCCGCTCCAGAACGTTTAGCTGGTAAATTTTTAAAAGATACTCTCCTTTACACAAATGGGTCATAAACATGTCATAAGAGGGATTTAAGCAAGAGCTACCCGAACATGCGCACCTGTCCATTACCTGACCGCAATAAAAGGGGCACATGCACAAGTCTGAAGGCGCACGCTTATTGACAAGCGCAATATAAGGGAAACATGCACAAGCCTGAAGGCGCACGAGTTACCGACCAGTCGGTAGGCAACGAACCTCCACCCAAACCTCCCAGAGCTACCCTAGAAAGAGTACGCTGACTGGGCGACCACTTGAACCCACACATTTGGATGCAAGTATGTTGCAATCCGAAACATTGTTTAGTCTAGCATGAAAATTGTGGGCGTCACAGGTTTGGGCGGTTTGTGGGCGTTAAAGTGGGCGTGGCAAGCTTTTTTTAAAATCAAATTGATGAGAACAATACATTTCAGTTAAAATTTGTATTCTAGCATCAAAACTGTAGGGGCCACAATTTTGAGCGGTTTGTGGGCGTTAGAGTGGGCGTGGCACTTTGGTGAAACAAACTTGCGCTGCGTAAGAAGCTCAGGAATCTGCACGCCAAATCTCAATAGCCTACCTCTTATAGTTTCCGAGATCTCAGTGTTCATCCAGACGGACAGACAGACGGACAGACGGTCAGACGGACAGACGGACATGGCTAGATCGACTCGGCTAGTGACCCTGATCAAAAATATATATACTTTATGGGGTCAGAAACGCTTCCTTCTGCCTGTTACATACTTTCCGACGAATCTAGTATACCCTTTTACTCTACGAGTAACGGGTATAATGAATGCAAAAATTGAAAAATTAAACGAACACAGAGTCCAACCAATCTCAGTCAGTGTAGATGATATAGTATTTAGAAAAGAAACACAAGAAACAGAAGAAACGAGCTCACTCCTCGCTTTTCCCAACATCAAGTACTAAAAGACAACAAGATCACACTAATTTCTACTAGAAAACAAAAGTTACACAAAGCTAAAATAAAAAACAGGATTAAACAAACCCAACTCCAATTGATCTTACAGATTCGCGTTCATCGCAGCCCAGGACTTAAAGGTCCAACATTTAGGAAACAACACCCCTTGTTAAAAATAAATCTGGGACAGCCCAAAATAATACAATCGCATAAATACCTTACACATAGAATTACCCTACAGGATTTTATTGACGGTGTGATTAACTTTGAGAGAGCAATTAACCAGCTAAAAAAGAGCTCAGATTCAAACGACGCAATCGAAAGTCTATCAGCGAAACTTCAGCAACTAAAAGTCAGAGTAGAAATGCTATTACCTAAAAAGAGACAAAGACGTGGACTTATTAATGGACTAGGTAGCGTCGTAAAAATAGTGAAAGGAAATTTAGACGACGCGGACGGACGTAGAATCAATGACAACTTAAAAACGATTACAGAAAATCAAAAATGAAATAACAGCAAACGCAAATAAAGAGGAGAGAATTAACAACGACATGAAAGCAAGATTTGACCATATTACGGTTCATATTAACAAAGAACAACAAATAATTAACTACTTCTTGAACAATTATAAAAATACTATTTCCAAAACTGTTAAAAAATATGTTCAAAACCGTAAACTCTGAACAGCATCTCCTACACACTTTACAATATATATCCCGAATTAATATGAATATAGGCGTACTGTCAAACTATTTAAGTAATATAGAGGAAAGCCTGCTATTAGCCAAATTAAACATTGTACCAAATTTCATTGTATCAGAAGAAGAATTAACTGTAATCAGACAAGAGTTAGATGACCCCCAATTACGCAACATGTCCAACGAACACATCCTCGAGATGTTAGAATTAGATAGTTTTATGAACTAAATTAAGATCAATTTTAGAATTAAAACAAAATATTCACCAATTTACACATATTATTATTATATATATTATTATTATTATTCCGCTACCTATAAATGGTTCCAAATTTTTAATCTTACCCAACTATATGGCATACTATAATGGGAAAGACATGTATTACTTCACGAACAAATGTAGTAAGGTTTATAAATATTTTATCTGCAAAAACTCTATATCAACCAAAAATAACATTCAAACCGGTTGCCTCGAATATATATTCACACTGAAGACTGCAAATTGTAAAGCCAAAGATGTGGAAATCCAAGAAGTAATTACAAAAATAGAACCAGCACACATCCTAATTTTAAACACAATTAACTCTACCGTTGAATCCAATTGTACGACTAATATTTCCATAAAGGGATCTGCTCTAATCACTTTCAATAATTGCGAAGTCTATATCAACCGAATTCCTTATGACAAAGATTTATTACAATTTTAGGAAAAGATAGAAGCTACAATTCCGGTTATTCAAAACATTAACTTCACCGATCATATTGAAGATATTAAATTACACAACCTAAACTTACGATCCATCAATGCTTCCAATTTAATCATATACTGGAAAAAGTTTACGACCACCAGTTTCGGAGCTGTGTATCTATTATTATTAGTTGGAGTCTTGGCATCGATCCTGTGGATCAACACAAAAAATAAGATTGTATTCGCTACCATACCAAAACCGAGTTTCGTGACGTCCACTCCTTCGTTTTAGCCGTCACTTCAATCCAAGAGGGGAGGAGTTACCGACCAGTCGGTAGGCAACGAACCTCCAGCCAAACCTCCCAGAGCTACCCTACGCCGACTGGGCGACCACTTGAACCCACACATTTTGCTGCAAGTATGTTGCAATCCGAAACATTGTTTAGACCCGGCAACGACCCACTCGAGTCGTTGCCCCGCTCACATTTTGATGACATCGCAACAGGATGCCCTGACCCCTCGCCACAGGAAATATGACACAAGCGGACACTTCGAACGGATTGCTGTATAAACATTTCTTTATTTCATCTTGTATTAGTGTATAAGCCCTTATGTATAGCATATAAGATTTTTATGTACACTTTTGGCAGCGGCGGCTTCTCGGCCACCGCTGAACAATATATGAAGTCACTCTAGAAATTCACTTCAAACATAGAAGACGTCTTATTTCTATTTCAATCATATTAACTTCAACAAACCTAAACCTTTGGAAATCGAGATATCAATTCTGAGGACTACTGAGGGATAACTGGAACCCCCCTTGGACCACATCCAACAGGAGCAGATACCATAACTCACGCTCATTGACAAGATCATGGGCCTCACGCCAACGAGCTCAGGGCTGGCTGCTAGCTCTAATACGTCCCATAATAGTGGTTGAAATCACGACCGCGCAACAACTCGCAAGTAGACGATATATCTCAGTCAAGGAAATATTTTCCATTCTCAGTACCTGTAATTTTACCTATATTGAAATTAATTTTCAGGCTTCAATCCGGCGATTTGCATAGAAGAAGCAGGCGCACGTTTCCGACGTCATTTCTGGATTACAAAATGTAAAGTGTTCACCATAATTCGTCCACCTCGATTCATGAACATAGTTTTTGTGTTTAGAAGGTATTGAAAATGCTAACCAATTATCTGTCCTTTAAATTGTTCAATAAATTGGTCAATTTCCTCATGAAATTTCATTTTGTTAATTTTGTTTTCTTGTAGGTCCTTAACCATTTAGTCACAACTTTAAAATGATGTATTAAAATTATTTTATTGTTTTGGAGCTACTTTTAAAAAATCTCAAAATAATGTATGCATTGTTAAGAGCACAAACCCCGCCCTTAAGGTGTGTTTCACAATAGGGAAACCGGTTTCCTTTAAACCTGTTTAATGACGGACAGCCCATTTCCTCGACATTAATGAGCTGACGACTCCCAAAAAACGTCTGTAGAAATCGTTTCTTTTCCATACCTTTACAAATAATTTGTTTTCCGCTTGTAATTGTCCTTAGCTACTTTCGAGTTTCTGGAAAACTGTTTTCTCCATCGGTCCAAAAAATGTTGTGATGTGTATTGGTTAACCAAATTTGACAAAAAAAAAGGAAAATCATATGGTGGTTCTATTAAAAATCTATTCAAATTTGGATCCTTTTTGAATACAATTTCAATTTATTTTAGAATAAAATTATTATTATTATCAAAGAAACATTGAACATCAATCGAAACAGTATCTTTCAATATTTTTCTAATGTTAAACAACTCATTGTACTAGTCCGTTCAATGGGTTATGTTCAACTAAACGGTCATGTATGGGGAGACAGTAAGTTTGGGTATTTTTATGACTTATTGTCTTCAGTTCTTTTGAAATTCTCACATCAACAAGACCAGTTTTCACTGATTCGTTTTGGTATGAAAGATCAACCACAAAAATAAGGGCCTTCAATTTAAATTCATTTGTGGTCAAAAATGGTTGTGATTCACGATTATAGTAACTAGATTGAAATCTTGTATACATACCTATATGAAGGTGAGCATACTGATTCTTGCTAAAATCAACATTCAGATTATCATATGGATATGACTCAGAATTCAAGTGAACTTTCAAGTTTGATGAGTTATTTGTGACAAGTTCTCCATTTAGTGTAGGTTCAATTGTGGCAAATCTTTGTTTTTCGCGGTTAGCCGACAATTTCACATTCCAACTGTGTTGACTCCCATACCCCAATTTGGGGTTAACATATGAGTCCCAACTCCGCAATGCGATTGGTAGGTTTACACCACTTTTATTTATACCGTACATTTTAATTTTTGCAAAATCGCTCGGAGTTACATGGGGAATTTCCCAGGTTTTAATCGTCATTTCCAGTTTAAAAGTTTGTTAATTTCTGGTTTGTTCAAACACATCACCAAGATTTTTAATTAGCATCAACACTAGTTCGTGTTTACAATTTAACAAAAGTTTTTTATAATCCTCAGCAACTCCCAACAAATTTTTTAATGGTACAGAAAAGTTAAAGTGGGGTCCCGTAGAAATTTTCTGTCCACTGCTCCATCCCGAATTTAATAGATTTTGACTTTAAAGATTATCCAGAGATATACAATTTTTTAGGGTTGTAGTCATACCGACAAATCGTGTTTTATCATTTCACATCCATTTACTTCGTACTAAATTTTATCCAAAAAGTAAGTCATACAATTATTTAAAAAAAAAGTGGTAACATTATCAATTGTAGGTCCATTTGGTGAATCTTTTCTTATAATTCCTTGAAAATTGAGGTAATTTTTGTGAAGAAGCACGTACAAGTCTTGTTTTTGGATAGTAATTCGAACATCATCGTTTGGCTTAAATGTTTGATTATACGATGAATAAGTATGAAACTCTTTCTTCAAAATACTCTCATCTGAGTAAACTTTTTCTCGAACATTTAAAATTTCGTTCATTGTTTTCCTTTCCACCTTTTATATTATACTCGAAGCTTCAAGCCTAATGACTTTAAAAATAGTTTATTTTTCAAAGTAAGTGAGCTTCTTTTTTCTGTCGATCCTCTTTCTATAGCTTTACAATTAGTAATGCTTGGCTGAGGACTTAAGCTACGTCTTTTATTATAAATAATCATTACATTAACCGAATGTGCATGCGAATCGAAACGTTTTCACCACGTAAATTCACCGTTTTGATCAACTATGCGTATAGATAGTGTGCTTATTTCGTCACAGTTGATTGGTAAATAAGTTAGGTTATGTGGTGTCACTGTCATTTTATACCCAGGCGGAACATTAATGCCAAACTCATGTAATGTATGATTCGGTGTATTATCTACATATGAACCGCTGATTATATCATATTCCAAACGAATTGTATTAGTTTTAAGTATGTTCACGGTCTGATCTGATCGATAGGTTTTTGTAGGATGTGGTTCTAGTACTTTTTGATGGAAACCAAACAGTTGTCCAACCGATCTTTCCTTATTAAAGTAAACTGACTCTCGCATGGTAGTATTTCAACTTGAAGTGTGAATCGGTGATATCATTCAATTTATATGATCCGGTTGGAATTGTAATAACCTTGTCACCGATGTGGAAGAGGTTACATTTTTCATCAATTTTTGGAATCGAATTATACATATTAAAGTCGATAAGAGCGCATATTTAAATCATCATGCTTAAACATTATAATAAAGTTGGCATTGTCACGAATCAGATGTTTCGGTATATGACTATATGTTTGACATAAATAAAAAGAGTCGATAATTTTATGTCGACCCATTCAAAAATAAGATCTTATGTTATCTTGTTTTTCACAAGCTACGTCATCGAATATCATAATGGAATTGTTTTTGGCTTTACTGGGGTCAAGTACACCATCATTATGGGAGAATGTATGATATCCCATTCCTTTAATCGGTTTGATTAATTTCTCCAAGTACTCATATTTAGGTTGATATTAAACTTCACATAATATTAGTTGTACCACAATTCGATGGCCCAACAATTAGAGCCCTTATTGTTTTCGGTAAGAGAGCACTATGTCGTGGCGGTAGATTTTTCTCGTTTTCATCGTTAATATTTCTTTTTTTGTTTATACTTCGGTTTTTATTTTGAATCTTCTCTTACGAGACTAACAAAATGTGTTAAAATATTAAAGTACTACATTATTCTAAGAGTATGTTAACTTGTATTTATGTTAGACGGACGGTCGGTACGACGAAGGCGAGAATGGCTACATACCAACGTTATTGCTCTAGTGAGGTGGTTTGGATGGGTTGAAACCTTTGCATAGTAATTTTCCATGTGGTGCGCTATGAAGTCTCGAACGGGGAGAATATTCAGTCTCTCTGAATATTTCCACTCCGAACGTACCACGGTGCCCCGGTGGTAGTTCTCAGGATCTTTGCTTGGGCTCTCTGCACGGTTTCTACGTTGCTGTTGCTGGCGCTCCCCTACAACTAGGAGCCATTAAGTCCAGATTGGTTTCAAAACGAAGTTGTATAGAAGAACCTTGTAGTCCTGAGGGGGAAGCGGGAGTTTATAAGCCAATGCAGACTGTTTGACTTCAGCCTTGGGTGAGTTCGTTTAGCTTCCGAACTGATGTACCGAATTGATGTACTGGGATACTATTATGTGTTCTGAAGTATAGTATGATACGGGTTAGAAGGCATTTTTCAAAGAGTTTTGGTGGACACGAAAGTAAACTTATCTGTCTGTATGAGGAGGTGAGCGTGTGGAAAATTCATATCAGTACCAAATAGGCTTCGCAACTGGCAAGAATAAAATTACATACAGTCCACACATCCAAAACGTTTATATTTCTAACCATATTGCTGGTCCATCGTTCCGTATTCTTGGACAGTTTTGAAGTGCTTTGATTCTCATAATAATTGTTTGCAATGGAACAATTAAAATCATTAGTGAAGAGCCGTGCCAGACTCAAGTCCAACATCACACGTGTCTTGGCATGGGCTGAATAAACGGAGATTGCTACACATACAGAGATCGTCACACGGATAGATCTTCTCAACGAAGTTTAGAAGGAGTTCAACCAGTTTAGAGATTGCATTGCGCTTTACGAGGAAGTGGAAGGCTATGTCGCAAAATACCTAAGGGTAAGCGCTGATCTCAAGGAAAGTAGTAATGAGCTACAACCGGGGACATCTACAAGCGGTGCGAGTGGCAGCAACGGGCTACACTCAAACAACGATGCAATCTTGAACTTGCTGCAACAAAACCAACAACTATTTGAGCGACTTGCTGTAAGTCGGAGCACGCCTGATCATGTTGGTGGTGACGTCACATTAGCGAATTCTCGGAACTCGGTACTCACGGTGAATTCAAATCTGAGCGAATTTCCTAAAATTCAAGTCAAACGGTTCTCGGGCAACTACACAGAGTGGCCATCCTTTGAAGACATATATGAAAATACAATTCATAACAAACAGCATTTGTCCAACACCCAGAAGTTCCATCACTTAAAAACACTTCTCGTTGATGAGGCTGCCAACTTGGTTCGACACTTGGCAATTACGGACACGGCTTACAACACTGCATGGGAACGTCTTAAGGAAAGATACAATCGTCCACGGCACATTGTAAACTCGTTTTTTAAATAGTTTATTAGCCTGCCAGCAACTACAAAGATCGATGCAACTGTTCTACGGAAGGTTT